TAAGTAATATACTATTAAATATTTATTTAATTTAAATTATTTAAAATAATTCAAACTAATGTATTTTATTTAATTAGAATAAGTTAGAAGAACAAACTGCTTTCGTTCCTCCAGTAGAAGGTAATGATTTTCTAGATGAAGCTGAAGAATTCGAAATCCCCCCAGCTCCTGATAAAAAAAGTAGTAGGAAGCAAAAAATAAAATCATTATCCTCATCCCGTCCAATCAAAAAGGGTAAATCTACCTGTACCACAGTTACCGTCGAAACTACACCTGCCCATACAACTACACAATCTCCCACATATTCAAATATTTTCGATACTTACAAAGATGATTCACAAGAAACCACCCAAACTCATGATAATCTGAATAATCCTGAAACAATACAAAATAACTCGCAACAAAATCCTTCTGAAAGTGCTGGTCACCAAGATGATTCTTAATTTTTTTTTCATTTTTATAAAAATGTTCAAACAAATTTGTTTAAAAAATATTTTTTTTTGTTATTTTTGTTTTTATTTTATTTTTTTATTTATTTTTATTTATATTTATTTTATTATATATATATTTATTGAATAAATGTTTATGTTGCCCCCCCGTTACATGACCTTTTTGTAACAGGTCATGTGCAATATATAAGCAATGATTTCCATGCCGATCATTGTTTATTTTCTTTTTTTGTTTTAGTTGTGTAGACGTTTTACTAACCCTATTTTTTTTTTTTTCAGGCTTATAGATAATGAGTCAGTCGCATTGCTAGTGTCGTCGTTATTGGAGCGTTGTTATTCAAATAGTCCTTGGATCATCATTGGTGTCATGTTGAGTCTTCGTTACTGGAATCGCGGTATTGAAGTTGTGTCGTTCTTAGATCATCGTTGGAGCCTTTCGAAGTCATCATTATTGGAGCCGTTGTTACTAGAGTCGGAATGGAGTCACGTTACTGGAGTGCTGTTAGTGGAATGGAGTCGTGTTACTGGAGTACTGTTAGTAGAATGGAGTCGCATTACTAGAGTCGTTGTTAGTAAAATTAAGTCGCGTTTACTGTTTTTGGCTGTAGTATTGCCGTTACAAGAGTTGTTACTGGTGGTTTCTCTTGTCTATGGCGTGATTAACTGATTTTTTTTTTAGGTA